GTTCGAGTATGCGATATTTCGGAACTGAGTCTAGTTCCTTCGATATCAGTGTAATCTAATAATCATGAAATCTGCTGTGTTGGTGTAATGTACTCAGGTGAATAAGATGCTTGTGTGATGTTACTCTGAGTGTATATCCACACCGGGCAGGCTCCAGGTAATTGGGAAAATCGCGTTTAATGCGGAATTTTTGACTGTAGCTCTGCTAACACCCTGGAAGTATATCTAACTTTTAGTAACTTATTCATATTGATTATGAATAGTACATGTCACTATATTGATTATGAATAGTACATGTCACTACATGAGAAAAAGACTGTTTAAGGTGGCTCAATATATTTATACAGACACAATCGTGGAAAAAAACTTGTCATTTGATTAAACCCACATGGCAACTTGTGTCTGTGCGAATATTAAAAAGAGACATGCGACATGATGGGTGACTTGCTTACACCATTTTATGTGTTTTAAAACATTTTGCACATCAATTTGTGACGTCAGAAGAAATGTCAATTTTTAAAAATACAAAATATAAAAAAAATATTTCTCTAATGCCAAAAAATTTTATCAAAGAAAATACTATTTTTGCATGTTTTGAAAAATGGCATTACAGAATTTTCTATACTTTGCTTTTTGTTAGTCTATGTGACCTATGTGTTAAATAGTGCCCCAAAAAATTGAGGTTTTTTTTCTCAAACTAGACAATGCAATAGGCTATTTTGTAGCGAACTTCGTACATGTGTATTGCCATAGCAACAAAATATATGTTTGACAGAGTAAAGTTGTCTACATTTAAACAGAGTAAACATAGCAATAAGACATATATTGGAATGGTATACATTAAATCAATTTATTTGTCTTTTTACAGCTATGTATCTAAGTAAGGATGAAATTGTTACAAATTACAGAAAAGCAAACAAGAACAAGAACTTATTTGATGCCTATGTGTTTGGCCCAGTTTTAATGTAGTTATAATAACTTTAAATGTCAATTATGGTTATTAGCTTTTAGCCCATTAAGCGCCAGCGATCTGACAAATAAAATTGTGTGGCTTTAGACAGAGAAAAATAATAAAGTATGACAAATAAGGGCCAGAAGGAATATAAGTGTACAGCAATACACTTGCACCAGCAATACAGCAATACATTTACTAGTGTATTTGGCACAAATGTCTGGCTCATTTCATACAGGCATCAGGGCGTATGCGACAGGGTGTTAGTCAGGATTTTGAAAGTGGCCGTCCAAAATAATTTTGTGGGCGTGGCAACATATTTTTGTAGGCGTGGTCACATGTTTTTGGGCGTGGCCGCAATTTTCTGTTGTTGAGGAATTGTGTGTTTTATTCGTTGAACCTTTTTACCTTTTAGATGCACATTTTTGTCATTAAATTAGTAAAAGCACACATATGGTATGATCACTACAGTAACTGTAACGTGGCGCTCGAGTGATAAAGCGATTGCTGTTTTTTAAAACAGCGGTTTCACATTGTTCTTATTGATACTTCATGCGAGAATCATAAAAATGGTTACGAAAACATGGCGCGTTTTACAAAAATATGGTGCAAAGTATTCAAGAAATATTACAAAGCTTGTAGGTTGCTATTTACAGAAAATATTCCCTTAGGCCGTCCATTAAAATTTAGCCATCCAAATTCAGAAGTGGCCGTCCATAGGACGGTCGGACGGCCGCCTGGTTAACACCCTGGTATGCGACTCAATGGGTTAACTAGACACATACTGTAGGCAGATAGGCTAGTTATAACCCATTCAGCCCCAGAATTCGTCCCTTGACAAGTAAAATTAGGCGTTTGACAGATTAAAATAGTCTGGAGTTAGAGAGAATAAAATAGTCTGGCGTTAGCTATAGTAAAATAGTCTGGCATTAGACAGAGTAAAAGAATAAAGTAGGGTGCATCATATATATTTTTTTGCATGGAGGTAGAACAATAAATTTGGCACTTGTGTTTGTTTTATAATTGATTGCAATGGTTTTCTTTAGGTTATGTTGTTTTGTCCCACTTTAGTATTTTTCTCTGTCTAACGTCACATGATGTTACTTGTCAATTGGAGAGTATGCCACTCAATGGGTTAATCAATAGGTGAAAACTATAATTGATCTGTAATGTTTAGTATAACCAATTTCTGGTATTAATATTTATATTTGCAATATTAATTAGTATTTATTATATATATATATATATATATATATACATTAAATAAATATATACATTAAATAAATATATACATTAAATAAATATATACATTAAAAACTTAAGAGTGATGAACAATGTTGTGTGTCATTTACTATTTCATCTAGATTCTAAAATTTCTACAGGAATACCCAAAATTCTTATAGGAAATTATGATGAATTATTTTCATATAGGAATTCCTATAAGAATTCGGGACTAGACTTGAGAAATCTTATAGAAATGTTTCCTATTAAATTCATATAGGAATTCCAATTATTAAATTGCTGTTTGTATGAGGTAGAGTGGACAAACGTATGGTGTAGACAAACATTTTGGACTTACTAGAATGAATATGATTTTGTAAGGCCAAAAGGATGGAGAAACTGTATTATCCCTTTTCCAGCACCATTTGCTATTAGCAACAATCCAAACAATATTGAGAGGTCACTATCAGACTTCTGACTGCGGATTTCATTGATAGCAGACAATACTTGCAAAGCACATTTAAATTTGTAGTCTTCGTTCTTTCCACAATTCCTTGAGGTATGTTGTCCAACAGCCAATGTTTCTAACAAACTTGATATTACAGGGCACTGTTCCTTAACATTTGATGCAATAGATGAAAATACTGTTGATGGAATCATTTTGTCCAGTTCATCCAGTTTTTCAAGTGACCCTTTCAAATCTAATTTACTTAACTTTGCAAGAATTTTAATTTCCTTTTCAATTTTTTCACTGTCTTTCACATTTGTTGCATTTTCCTTTTCTAAATCAGTTATGCGTTCTTTCATATGGGCTATTTGTTCCTTTAACATTTCATTTTCCTTTTCCAATGTTGAACATCTACATGGAGTAGTGGCAGAGTTTTGGCTCAAACAGTCGATTTTCTGAAGGTTAACATACATCGGTCTAAAAACAGTTAAGGAAACTGACTTGTAAAGTCAATGTTCGACTATTTTTGATGTAATAAATTAAGTATTATTAGAAATATGCTAGATTGTAGCAGTCATGTGACCAGCATCTAACAGGGGCTTTTCTCCCTAAGAAGGAAAATCTTCCCTTAGTGGGTATGAGGTTGAATAAATAGACCAGTTGATATCACTTGATATACAATGTTCATTTATATGATTTGGCTACACACCTGTACCTTGTTAATCTGACCTTTATATTCCTATATATATATACAACAAATTGTGATTGTGTCCCAGTGTTATCCTGGTCACATAAACACTGCTTAAACGACGGATAGTAGAATAGAATAGAATAGCCACTATGTGGAAATGCTATTAAACCATTATTATTTCTTTTTTATGATAATTAAGGATACACTACTGCTCGCTTATCTTCACCACCAATACGTGATCCAACTTTAATTCTTTTACGTGTAACAGTATTTCCAAACGCTTCAATTATTGCCTTGTTGAGCTGGTTTTGCTTAATAGTTCTACCAATATAATTTTGCATGGCAATCATTGCCTGATCTATTTCAATTGATGAACCATCTTTAACTCTAAAAATTTCTTGTACGGGTAAAGTACGTCCTATAAAAATTATGAAAATATTTGATCAGCAAGTGGCAAGTGCCCGACTTGGCAAAGCGAAAGTACAATCTATAAATAAATATATGATATGCATATTCAAAAACTCGCATTCTCTTATAAACCTAATCAAATATTCATGCCAGTATGATATCATGCGTTCGAGTGAACGAATGAATGAATCTCCTATGTGTTATAACTAATAAGAATTTTATAACAGGATATATATTATTAAATAAAGATCTCACCTGAGCTATCCTCTTCCCGAGATTTTTTGTTTTGGTTTTTTGTTGGTGTTAATCCCGCGTCGCAAAATAGCCTTTTAGACGCGTCTGTGTCCTTTCCTATAAAATATTTAAAATGATGAGGTTTCAACTTCTTTCAATTTTTCGCAATATAAAATCATGTAATTCGATACACTCTTACACACCTGTAATATTCTCGCTCATTGGAGTTTCCGCCATTTTCACAAGCCACTGATCTCAATACAGCAAGTGGGGACACTTTGTCCCCACTCTCTGGTCCCCACTTTTGGCTCACTTGAAACATTTTATTCTAGGCCTCTCAGGAGCCGTCACCTCATTAATATGCAGAAACGCGCAATAGGCGTACTAAGAGGCCTA